ACAGGGTAACATTCGCCCGCAGATGACAGGGCAGCTCGAGACATGAGAAGACTAGGCTTAAAATATTCCGCCTTGTCCGATCGAGGGGCCTGGGCAAAACATCGAACGGCAGGGCTGGTTCACAGATGCCCGAGATCTCAACCCAATCCGCAGCAGATCCGAAGGGCAGACCTGGTGAGCAGCCAGGGAGCCAAAGGGGAAGCTTGCTAGGGGTCGGACTGAATCGGCCCAGGGATGACGAGACGGAGAGGGTACCAAGAACTTTGGCGGGGCCAAAATAGAACAAACGAAGAAGAAGAGAAGCGTTGTCGTTTGTTCAGAAACCGGTACCTGACTGCGGCACAACCCCAATCCACTCGGACGAGACGAAGGGGTGAATGAGAGGGAGCTAAACCCGGCCGGGAGCGGGACCTGTCGAGGCTGAGGCTGGGCAGGGCGGCCCTGGGGGAAAACAGCGGGGGAGGAGGTGGCTTGTCTCACGTCGTGTGTCCCGAGAGGGCGAGGTGGCGACGTGGGAGGACTCTCGGAGAGATGGTGGGGGCAGAAAATAGAAAGAGTTCTATGTAAGAAACGGGCGATGAGGTGCGCATCAGCCCAAAAACACAGACCTTGGTGTTCACACACAAACCTTCCGCTGGCCGGGTCTCGCGGCTTGTGCGGCTTGTTTGACACGGCCAAGACGATGGAGCAGTCAACCTGGCACGCCAGAGCGGCGATTCCTGCATCGCAAATCCAGCCTCGGTTCTCCCAATGAGGAGCAGTCGCCGCAAGACGGTAGCAACGGAAACGACGTTTTTAGTCAAGGCCGGCCCTGGCTCGGCACCGAAGATCACGGTTGAGCATGTTTGGCGCCAGCATCGGGCACTGTTTTATCATGGCCGATCCGGATCTCATTCAGGGACACTCCTGTTTTCGCCTTGCCCCAGATCCCCACATGATGTGCGGCTTTTGGCTGTGAATCCAGACCCGGCCGGGTCTGAAGATCTAGGCAGACGGGGGGGGGGGCAAGTCTTGGGGGCTGGAGGATGAGGTGCCGTCAAGCCGTCAGACTTGCGTCGTCCCTCCCTCTTGACACCCATCGGCCACGAACAGCCAAGCTTGCGAATTTGGATGATACAATGAGGGTGCGGCGTGATGCTACCGCCTGTCAGTCCTAACTAACCTTCGTCCGGTGCCATGGACCGAGGAGCACCAGCTTCAGTGGCTGTGAATGGGCGGGCTGGCGGGCTGACGGGTCCGGGCGGGCAGCAAATAGCGAGGATGACCAGCAAACGGCCGTGCGCAAGACTTCCCAAGACAGCGGATTGGTGAAGGAGGGAATGCGAAGATGGTTCGATCTGGGATAGTGGGAATGGACAGTTGGCAGTTTGGAAATTTACAGTGTGTGAAATTTCCAAATTAACCCCACACAGCTGCTACAGCGGAACAGCGGAATTGGTGGCTGCCTGGACCCGATGAATCGGATTCCGCAAGGGGCTTTTGAAATCATGACTGGTCTCTTCCGAGAAAAACATAATGGTGGTAGCGGTGGTGGTGGGTTGTCTGGTGGGATCAATGGACCATGGTGTGGTGTCCGGAACGCGGTCGTAAAAAGAGCGAGCGATGTCGTTGGAGAGACGCGAGTCACGGCAGGGGTTGCAGACGTTTGAGGTCCACGTTGCAACGAGCTCCGGGCGCGTCGTGATTCGCCACCAAAGGGGAATCTGCTGCAAGGATGGTTCCACAGACCCGAAGTCCGCGGCATGTGGGTCTCTTGGGTCTGCGGGAAAGCACGACAGGGCGGGCCAGGGCCAGCTTCATCAGCGGGGTGAACAGGGGTCCTCCGTCTCAGATTTGTCGCAGAGGCGGGACCAATGCTACCTCCACACTTGCACTTCGTCTCTCGTCGTCTCGCCATCATCCAAAGTCAGCATCGGGAGCAAAGCCCCTCGTCTCTCCCTTTCGTCCTTTCAAGATTCAGATCACAATTCTCCGAGGGATGGGTTACGTTCTGCTGACAAGACAAGCTGCTGCGCTCCCGAGCTGGCTCCTTCCGCCATAAGCTACGGCCAAAATCAAGACCGAGGAGAAGAAAAGAAATGGAATACCGAACCCCTCAGTGATGTCTGGACAAAATACAAATCACAGAAAAAAAAGAAGAAAAAAAAAAAAAAAAAAAAAAAAAAAAACCCTCATCAGATCTCAAATCATCATCGGATGATTTCCTTGTCCCAATGGCGCGCGTTATGTGACGTGTTGTCAGTCCAACAAACAAAGTGGAAATTGAGGAGGATGACGGGGATGTTTGGTAACTTTGGTTACGTTGCGGGAGCGGAACCTCCACAACCCCTTCATCGTCAGCATCCCCAGTCGCTCGATGTTTGGACGTCGTATCGAAGTGACATGGAGCATTTGGCGTGCATCTCGAAACCACTCATCCGCTCCTGGTTCGTTTCCTCTTTGTCCTTTTCCGTTTTACTCTAATGAGTTTCTCGTTTCTTCAAACTACACAGCCTGCACTAAACTGCCTGCAGCGTTCCTTGATCTCAACATAGAAAGATTCGATCGATTTTCAGTGTGCAGGTTTCTTCTCCGAGACGATCCGACCTTGCCACTCGCTCCACTGGTTGTTGGTCGTTTTCTTCCCAGCCACGAATTCCGATTGCTCAACCTGCTGTCTCCTCCACATCGACCAGAGTATCCCTCTTATATGATCCCTTCCTAAGGCTTGGGTGTCATGGGTGAACCTGGCCTGGTAGCCCTAGCGGTAAATGCCATCGGCCTATAGGGCTGGTCGGCGAGGAACACCTTCGTACTGTGTAAGCTAACCGCTTGGACGAGCTCCGACCTGGCCGCAAGCGGACACCAGTCCATCAGGCACCACGGGAACTGTGCTTCTTTGGCCCGTCTTGGTTACAAGTCAGCCCTTACCTGCATCACCCATCAGGAAACGCTGTGCCTCGTGTACTTTCTTCCATACGCGGTTCGTATCCATTGACCGTGCGAGCCTGCCAATTTCGGGTCCCCCATCGCTGCCTTGCTGCCCCCGTGCTCGGACAGCCCGTTCCCCTTCCACGCAGCTTCGATGACATATTCCGTGCAGGGCTCAGGCCAAACCGACCAGCCCCCTTGCTCCCTTGCTACCCCCATCAGTGTTCGGCGAGCCCGGCAGCCTAGCCTAGCACTCGGCGGGCCTGTTCGCGTATCGGAGGTGACAACTGTAACCGAACGCCCGCCGGAGATCAGACATGTTTTCATAGTTTTGCATGACAACGCCCGCCGCTTTGGGAAATTATCGTGCCTTTTAGCCGTCCTTTCCACGGCCTATACGTCGGCTCTTATGGAGATCCCGAACCTATGATGGAGCCAATCCTCTTCCAGCAGGAAGAGGCCGCCTGATCGAGCACCTCCCTGGACGGAGCCCTGTCTGCCGGCGTGCTGGACCTTGTCCGCCTGTCGAATCTGCGGGGCCCGTTGTGGGATGTGGGATGTGGCTTGCGGCTTGCGTGCTTCCGTGGACGCCGCGAAGGCCGGGCATCGACGGTTGGTTACCGGTTACCTATCACGATTCTCTCCAGTAGGGATGTACCTGGCGGCGGAGGTAGATCCGAGGCGGGGGAGGAAGGAGAGATAACCGCTCGACAGCCTCAGAGGGGTAGAGAGGGGGAGAGGGGCGAGAAAAAAGCACGAGATATTCTTGAATCCTGACCAGCTGGCGTTGGACGGCGATTGTGGCTGGCTGCTTGCTGTTTTCCGCACTTCTTGGGCCGTGTTTCTTGCTTTACTGTCTGATGTTGAGCAGCTGAACCCCACAACCCGTCCGCCGCGAGTCCATCGGTTCCGTGGCTTCTGACTCACACCCAAGACGCGAAGCGCGTTCTCGGCCGCTGGTTGAATCGTGGAAGTCGAGCCGAGATGCCGAGCTGGCGTCTGGTGGGGGATGCCTTATCACTGCTACTTACGTACTTGCCCTACGTGTAGATCGAGTGGTTGACTTACACACAGCCAAGTCTAGTCCAGGCCAATCCCCCTTCCATCCGGGGACCTGACTCGGGCTTCTCGAGCAAACACAAATCCGGGGCTGTGAATCCCCCGTTCTGTTAACCGAGTTGTAAACGTAACCCCTCACTGCCCCTCGACGAGGGAATTGATGACAGAAGGATTTGTCTGAGGTAGAGCGAGCACGATTCAACCAACCGAAGCATGGGGCAGCCGTGCCTTCCGCCTTCCAGAGACGGGAACGAGAGGCGCTCGTTCCCTTGGCTGGCGCAGGGGCACAGTCGTGTAAGAACCCAGAAGTGCGGACGAGCAACCGGCCGTGCTGGGCCGCAGAGGGGCTGCCCGCGAGAGGGGGTATGTGGCGAAGCTAGCTGAAGATCCTCCCGCCTGGGCGTTAATGCTTGGATGCTGGGTGGCGAGGAGTCCGATGGAGTGGGAGAGCCTGGTCAACGCCGGGACCTGGGGCTGCAGCCCTGCTGAGCTCACGGGCCAAGCACCCGAGTGATCTTTACCATCGGTGGACGCTGTTATTACTGTGGGAATAATTCTGGAAACTAGCGTCGTTTAACCATGGATCTGGAGTGTTGGCCATGAAAAGTGACTAGGCACACTAAGATTAATAGAGCTTGAATAGCTTCTACACACCCCGTCCCCAAGACCACGAGTTCTTCCCACCTTCTACATCTTTCCCTAGCGCCAGCAGCAGACCCCACGCATAAAATAACAAGGAAACCGGGGCAATAGACGCCAGAGGAATGACAAGACACAGTGAATCTTGTCATCACCTTCTTGGTTGAGGGGTGGAATTAGTCTCCTGAACGGCTCTACCAAACAATCCATCACCCGAACCTTCTCAACCCGTTTGCTGCCTCACCATATCCGTGCCGGACATCCAACCTCAAAGTGAATGCCCTAATGAGATGAGCTAGCAGGCGAGGCCATCCGCGTCTCCAACTTCTCC